TGGCTTTGCACTCCTGTGAGGGATTTTTTTCTTAATTAAGTCATTTAAGTGGGAGAACCCACTTTTAATCCTGATCTTTGAGGTGAGAAGATTCACCATTAGTACAGATCTTTTGAGGTGGAAGGATCCATCACCTTCCCCCTGGACCACACCTTCTGCTGGCTCCTATATAGGACACAGAAGAAGGGAGTTTGCTTTTTTTCTGCCTGTGTGCTCTCACTCTTGCTAGCAAGTTCAAACCTTCATTGGAATTAGAACCTACTCCTTCAGGATTCTGGCATATACTGAAGATCAGATGAGATACCCAGCCTCATGGACTCAACAACTACTGGACTTGGACCTTTGGTTGGACTAGCTGAACTTCAGCCTGTAAGCCAGTGGTTACCAATCTTTCTAATGCTGTGACCCTTTAATATAGTTCTTCATGTTGTGGTAACTCACAACCGTAACATTGTTTCACTGTTGCTTCATAACTGTAATTTCGCTACTGTTATGATCATGATATAAATATCTGATATGCAACCCCTATGAAAGAGTTCAGGTTGAGAAACACTGACACTGGTATAAACCATTCTAATCAATCCCCTTACCCTCTTACCCCCCCCGACTCATTCATTCTATAAGTTCTGTTCCTCTAGAAAACCCTGACTAATACACATAGTATTCTACTATATGTAATATTGCAATTTTTGGCCCATTCTGATGAGTTATACCCAGTCTTTCACTTACAAACAAAAATTCAGGAACATATTGTTCACCAATTTGTGTCCTCATGTACTGATTCTTAGAAGTGGGATCTTTGGGTCAAAAGGTCTATGCCTTTTGAATTTTGATGCTGTATAATTTCTTTCTATTGATAGTAGATCAAAATATTCATGCCATTTTGTTGTCTAGACACTGGGGTTGGGTTTACTCTGTACTCTCAGTACCAGATTTGACCCATTATTGTCAACAAGTTACTTGGTCGCATCATGACATTATACTGTTGCCTTGTTCTTTCTTCAAACACTGTTTGGACTCAACTGTGTATCAGGGGTAGAACATTTGGCTTGCATGTGTTAGGGCCTTGGCTTGATCCATAGCATTGCAAGTGAAAAAACAAACACGTATGAAAGACAGACTTCATGGGCATTACAGGGTAACTTCTTGAGTCTAGCCACTGTCAAAAGCTTGGCTCCACAAATGTCATGACAAATGGTCAGGCTTCACCGAGGACAGGGTGGGAGTGGAGACAGGCATCATTGCATGCTACCCCACAGTCAGAGCCTCAGGGTGGTTGGGAGCACCTCTGTCTGGGTCGTCCTGTGAAAAAGTGACATTGACACTTGGGTGGCAATGGATTAGACTGCCCTCATTGCCCTGCCTCTGTTGAGGCTTGCAGGCTGTCTAGCTGTTCTTGCCAGCCCTTAGGTGTGAAGCCAGTTCATGCTTCATGACATAAAGCATTTAATTTTTTCTTTTTTTTTGAATACTGAATAGGTATTTGGTTTCACAAAAATATGACCTATTATAATGCTAATAATTGTCATTTGGTATTTGGAACATACACCGGAGAAAGGTAAGTGAGTTCTTGACTGCTAAGCTAATAGCAATAGGGACATTCTGAGGATAGAACTTGCTTAACCTCACACGAAACCTAGAACAAGGGGTTCTGACATCACTTTTAGCTGTCACCTTTGGTTTTTCCCACCTTTGGCATTTCCTGAGGTTAAACAACACACCGAGGCATCTCCACAAGTCAGAGTGTGACCACTATGATGTGTTCCCAAAATGGAGTCTGTATCCTGAGTCTGACTTCACAGTACACCCGAGAAAAAGGCATTGTGGTCACAATGAAGCCGCCACTGTCAAGGGCAAGCGTGAGACACAACAGACTTCTGCCCCTAAAGTATCACTCCCGGTGAAAGTTCATGCAGCATGGACGCCTAGAGCGATCAGCTGCTGCCTGTCCAGGGGGACTTGAAGCTGAAACCCTGTGCTGCTAAACTCGGTGACTCCTGACCAGGGCATATTCTCAGGAGCTCAGTGAAAAGGGAAGGCTCTATAAAACATGCACCTAACAAAGCATGTCAGCAGCTTCAACGAAGCAGGCCTGTCCAGATAGGAGAACCCTAATAAATAAACGAAGCACAACATTTATTGCTAACAATCATGTCACAGGCCCACAGAAAACTGGAGCCGAGCAGCTAGGAGAGGAGGAGTCTGCAGCCAGAGAAGGCCATGGAGCACACCCAGGCACAATTATTTACGGTGTGCAGATGAAGACACAGCCTTTCCATATGAGGAACAGTTCAGCAGAGGAGGGTGGGCTAACCCAGGATGAGATCCAGAGAGCCATCGAGAGCAACGAACGGGACATGAATAAAAATGGCAAGCAATAAAACAGTACAAATCAAAAATGCTGTAACTTTCAGAAATAATTTAGGGCCAAAAGAGAAAGGGGGGAAAATCTGGCTTTGGGACAATTTTCTGAGAAGCAAAGACATTAAGCAAAACGAAAGTGCTGAGTTGAAGACACAATTTACCTTGATGCCATCCTAGTTATGAGCTTGGTGTTTTATTAAAAAAAAAAAAAGCAGCGATTTTGCATTTAGCTGATGCAGACATGTTTTTGTTGCTATTGTTGTTCACCTAGTAATAATCTGTGTGCTACTCCCTGTACAGCAGGGCTCCAGGCTGACAAAGGGCTATCTCTGTCCTCAAGAGGCTAGCGGTCTTAAGCCAGCTTCTGGATGATGTGTGCATATCACAGCAGCTTCACCAGGGAAGAGCAGGGGGCAGTTGCAGGAGAAAGATGCAGATCTGGAATTTCAATCTCCATAAATGCACTTTTTTTATACAGAGATGTGCATTCCTCTGGTTCTCTGTAGTTTCTGACCTTGCAATCTATATCTAAGGGTTATCTGGGCCGTTTTCAATGACTTTTATATGCTATGATGCACCTCCTTCAAATCTGAACCGAAAGATAATAAATATCATCCACCTGCTGCTTTATGCTTCAAGAACTCTTCCTAGCCACTTCCTAAGGTGGGATTGCATGTTATTTTAGAGAGAGGCTGGAGTCCTAGAAAGAGTCTTTCTCCAAGTCACTGGGAATAAGTGACAGAGTACTTTATTCCACCTGTTTGGGCTCTGTGGGAGGACAGGGTGGAACTGTGCCAGGACCCAAGGGTGGCTCTCCCAAGACTACTAGCTCAGTGACTCCCTCCCACAACAAGAGCCCTCTTCTGTTCTCTGAGAGCACTGATTTAAAGGGCAGAAGCCCTTTATCTTGGATGGCACCAGGACAGTTTGCACTGTTACACAGGTGTACTTTACAGAGTGGCATCTGAAGGAGTCCTTACACGCAGGGACTTCAAGCCTTCACTCTTCAAAAGCAATGGGAATTGAACCCAGGAACCTGTACTCTACCAGTGAGCTATGTCCCCAGGCCAAAGAGTTTTCTTATAGATGCTCAGCGATGCCTCTCTTCTACCAGTCCCTCTATGCCATGAATCAGTGTCCTGATGACATGGTTCTAAATTTAGTCAGCAACTCCAGTCACTGCCCGGAAAGACATTCTAGAAGGAAATTTAGAGCTAAGCATACCTTTGCTCACCTCTGTTTTCTTCTCTACCTCCGTTTTCCACCTATTGGTAGAGACTGTCTATCTCTTACTATACCAAGAGCTTTGTGGCTGAGTGGGGGGTCCCTACAAACAGAGCACCATCCAACTTTGCTCTACCTGCCGGGTGTGCACCAACCAGAATGGACATATTGTCCTTGGCCAGCTGACCAGCTTTCCTGAAACCCTGTTCTGTACCCTATGACTGGATGGTCTACGAATCATTTCAAAGTGTGATTTCAAATACTAGTCTTTGGTCGAGTATAGGTTTTATAATCTTTAAAATAAATCTAAAAACTAGAAAATTCATTGAGTTGTAGAGGCAGACTATTTCATCACTAACGGAAGGGGGTCTAAAACCATCAAGCACTTGTTGGCTGCTGTGATCTCTTTGAAGCCAAGTTGAGGGTGATCAATGGACAGACCACAGCAAGATGCTTTAGAAGAATCTAAACCAACCCTCTTTATCATGTTTGAAACTGTCTCCTTCCTGCACGGCTACAAGCCACCTATGAATAGCTAGACATTGAAAAAGGTGATGTTAGGCCCAGTAGCCTATCCATCAAAATTCCCTTCTTCCTTCCTGGTAGCCTTCTCAAGTCCATGCCTGGCAAACAAAACAGGCCTGGCTGCATGCACAGAGCTCTGGTGGGAAGGCAGCAGGTTTTGGGGCAATGAGTGTTCAGACCCCACTTCCCAGAAAATGACTCACAGACAGGATGGCCAGAAACTTCAAATGGCAACTTTTGTGATTCAAGGTAATTGCCAAGGAATTTAAGAGGCCATCACTTACTCTTGACTTTCAAAGAGACTCTGGGCTTTAAAGGCACAGTTGTATCTAAAATTCATCAGCTAGCGACAACCCTCTGAAGTTCCTGAGAGGGAGAGAGAGCAGGAGGCACCGCCACATCTGGATTGCACCATGTTCACTTTCCAGGTTGTAAATTTTCAGGTCACAAAGACTTCCTGAAAATAACTTTCTACCATGCAAGTAGATTTTTTTTATAGGCTGAAGTATCCATTTTTCCTATTATTTTGAGATAGAACACTAGAAGACTTGCTGGCTACTCTTCAAAGAGCTGCACATTTAAAAAAATAATACAATTATTAAAAAAAGTCTTGAAAATACAGGTTTTAAATCGTGGTAGAGAAAACATTAAAAAAAAAACAGTTCTAGAGCATATTCAGATAAACCAGAGACTAATAAATATGAACATTTAACATGTAACTATATACTATGGTTGGGAGTACATTCCACAGTTGTAGAATTAACTGTTGATAAATATAATCAAACAGTATCAAAATAAGATACATGTACACATACACTTAAAGACATATCCTCTCTCACAGACACTCAAAAACTTGCTATTGAAAACACGTCTTCTCTACATTTCAATTTACTAATTTTAATGTTTTTATTTATTATGAAATAAAGTCTATGATATTAGAGAATGCATGGAATTTTAAAGTGAGACTACATATGTTAGAAAAATGCATCCAGGGCACATATTTTATTTCTTAAGAAAATAAAACTACCCACAAAAGTTACCTCTGTACACTGGTGTTGGCCCTGGAGTAGTGGATCCTTACCATTAAATACTAACAGAAACAGTGCGACAGAAAGGTGGTGTGAGGTCTCTTCAGCTGGGTGGCCTCAGTGTCACTGCTTCACTGAGGAATTCAGGAGCTCCTTGGTTAGAGATGGCACCCAGGATAGCCCAGAGTCTGTCAGGGTCCTCACAGTTGTGCTGGCGTCCCCAGTGGAGAAGCAGGTCTTCCTTCTTCCCCAGCATCTGGGCACAGAGCAGGCAGTTAAAGCCTGAGTGGGAGCAGAGAAGCTTGGTGGGCTGCTGTGGGCTGCTCACTCCCCATTGGCCACCTTCCCTTCCTGCCTGCACTTCCTCCCTGTTCTGATGACAGGGTGGCTGCCTTTTCACTCTAGGACATGCTGGGGAGTCCGCCACAGAGGCCCAGGGCATGGCCTGCTTCCTTCTCTCGCGGTGCTGCTTCTGGTGGGGAACCCCTGCTCTGCTGCCTGGTAAGATCACCTCCTGAAGTCGGCCTTGGATCTCCTCCCCGTGAACGTGAAGCAAATGGAACTTTATTTCAGCAAAAGACTGGGCAGTGATTTGACAACGGGCGCATCTGATTTGCAACTTGACTTCATCTGCCTGGTTTAGAAGGAAATCTTCTTCCAAACTTGACTTGGGTTCCCTGGAAAGGGGGAAATAGTCTTAGTAAGATTTCCCAGGAAAATGCAACTGGATCTCTCGCTGTCAGGTCTTGGCCTCGAGGGATATAAGGCACCCTTCTATGGAGAGCTCTGCAAAGCCTCCAGAGGTCCTGTATTTCCCCCTAATGAACCGCCTCCCTGGTTACCACAGGTGTAGTCACCATGAAGATTAGGTAATACGATAGGAGCTGCCACGGTGCACTGTGGCACTGCTGGAGATGACCGCCCCACATCATCCATGCCACCCCCGTCACTTTGGCAGTCTGACATCCTATTTCAGATGATCTGAGTACATGAAGGCAAGTGAGAAGGGATGTTCTGTTTCATGGAGTATTAGTGGAAAGCACAGTAATGAGAGACCCAGGGAATTACTGGAGATGAGGGAAGGCGAAAGACAAGAAAAATCTAGGGCAGACATCTTGTTTTTATCCATTATGATAATGAATACAAAATATTTAGAGCAGCTGGGACAATAAAAAACAAGGAGTAGAGAACTTAAGGTGTTGGGCAGGGTTTCCTTCTCAGCCCTCAGTCACCTCAGTTGTGGGCATGGACCACACTACAGGCACTTCCCTGGTCATTATTCCTCAAGAGCTTGCCTTGCCAGCATCCAGATTATGGAGCTTATTGTTGTTTTTATGAGGTCAAGGAGCAGCGCTTACAAAACTGAAGGACACAGAAAAAACTTACTCTGGCCTGACAGGTACCAATGGGTACACGCAGAGGTGGAGCACCTTGGGTCTGGTGAAGGTGGTGCCTCACAAGGTGTTGAGAGATAGATGAAGCTGTTTAGATAAGAATTCTATGAACAATAATTTGGGGGAAGCTATTTTATAAAAACTATATATGATAATCTATTTTAATTTTTAGAAGCAATAATAATCTGTCACCCAACTGTCCCCAGCATACTCAACCTGATATTCATGCCTTGACTTACACAAGTTTGAGTAATTAAACAACAAAAAGTGGGTTAATATTTCAGAGAACTGAGGAGTGGGATCAGGTGGCTTATTTTACCTTATGGCATCTTCCGTTGTTGCTATTTTGGGGCAGGGTCTCACACAGCCCAGGCTGACCCTGAATTCCTGATCTCACTGTCTCTATCTGCCAAGGGCCAGGACTGTAGGTGTGTACCGCCACTCCTGACACACTTTGAAATCTCAGTCTTCTTAAGTCACAATAGACTGTCTTGCCAGGCTTCCCTTCCAGGAGCACTCACCTCTCCAGTGGGCCATCGGGTCCTTGCGTGTCAGCATCTCTGTCCCTGGTCCTTGATGTGTCTCCTGGCTGCTGTTCACTGCAGGAGGGCTCTGTGCTGATCACAACCCTGTGCACCTCCTTCAGATGACCAACATAGACTCGAACATGGCCAAATACTTTTGCACAAAACTCACAGCACACCAGTTTCCTGGGGCGATTCTCACCATGGTGCAGTTTCATATGTGCACTCAGGCTGCCAGGACGAACGTAGGCCTTTCGACAGATCCCACAACTGTAAGGCCGTCTGTTAGTGTGTGTATTCATGTGATCTAGAAGGTGGTGTTTGAACCGGAAGTGGTGGTTACAGACGGGACACATGTGCCAGGGCTTCTTAATGCCCGAGAATCCGTTTCTGAGTGCACAGCTGGACTTTGGGGCAGGGCTGTCATTTTGCTTGGAACCAGGGCATTTTGGAGGCAGTGTATTATTCAGCAGAGCACCCTGACCTAAACTGCTGGGGGCCTGGGACTGCAGTGCGGTTGCAGGGGACGCCAGGGGCGCCAAAGCAGACATGACAGTGACAGGCTTGGGCATGATGCTACGATACTTTCTCGAAGCAGCCTTGGGCTTCTGGTCTCTGGGTTCCTGAGGACTGTTTCTCCCCCTTTCTACGCCATCTCCACACATACCAATAATGTGTTTCCTCCTTTTGCCCTGCAATGCTAAAATCTCATCTGGCACTCTCCATTTTCTTCCTTTTCTCTTTACTGCCCCACTGCTTGGTTTTACTTTGTGGCTGAGATCGAATTTGGCGACAGGACTGAAGGCACTTTCACAAGCATTCTGCTTGGACCCATGCAGAGCAGTTATCCTGCTGGGCATCATGATGGCTGCATCAAACCTTTCTGCGATGGACAGTCTCTCATCACAGTTTGCCCTGCATCCAGATGAAGATAGTTGGGCATTATCAGTATCTGATTCCACTTTGCCCATCTCTGTGGCTTTCACTCTTGAGAAGGGCAGGATGGGCAGTTTACCCTTCGGTACTAATGAGACCAACTGAACCACACTGCTGAAGACAGTGTGTGCAGGAGTCCCCTGGTCTTTAAGTTCTTCACCAGTAAAAGCAGGCTTAGTGGGCACCTCCTTCCTGGCACAGTCTGCCTTCTGCATGATTGCTGGAAGGCTCTGTGGGGAAGAGGAATCCTCTGTAGCACATGCAGGAAGCTTCAGGTCTCCACAGCTGTTGGTCATCGGAGGATTTGAATCTCCTTGGGCAATACTGTTGGTCAGTGTAGTTGTTTTGATGGCGGAGGAAGGGTTTAAAGTGGGCATTTGCTTCAACGGGCTGGTCTTATGAGGCGGTTCAGGATGGGCTTGTGGGGAAGGGGACATTTGGCATGTCTGAACTGGGCCAGGAGGTTCATTCCAGCTACTCTTGGGAGAGCTCAGGTCCTGTTTCTTTCTTAACCCTTTGTTACTTGGTGGTTGGTATCGAGGAATAGGCAGTTTCAGGTTTTCATGCAGGGACATTCTGGGCTTCTGAATTGGCTGAGTTGAGGCAACATTCGGTAAAGCAAAAAGAGAAAAAGTGCTCTCCTGGCCAACCACCTGCATCAGAGCATAGTTCTGGGTGGCCATGCCCAGAGGCTTGGAAGTTAGAGCCAGACACGCTTGGTCAGAAAGTGAGGAAGGACAGGGTAGCACTCTGGATGTTAAGACTTTAGGCACAAGTTTTGGTGCAATGGTCCTAAATTGACTCTTATTCTGTAAACTTTTCCCACTCTGCGCTGTTCCAGAAGGGATGTTTGATTTATCTGTAATGACAATACACAGATTACTACAGTGCAACTGTCCTAGTACTGAAACTTCAAATCACATCTGATTTGGGATAGAGACCTGGTTCAGCAGTTAACAGGATATACTGCTCTTGCAAAGGACCCGAGTTCATTTCCCTGCACCCATGTTATGTGGCTCACACCTGCCTTCCAGTGGCAGGGGATCCAGTGTCCTGGCCTGCACTCATGTGTATACACCCACAATACCTATCATTTAATTTTTATGTTCAGACCAGGTTCCTTGGCCTGTCCCCATCTTCCTAAGCAACTGCCTATGTCCTTCAAGACAAGGTTTACAGGTCACCTGCCCTGCATTCCCAAGGACTGTAATTCTCCAACGTTGCAGCATAATTCTCCTGTTAGAATGGCAGTCATTAAACAAAACTCCCAGAGAGCTGGGACTCTCGCCTGATCCCTGTGCTCTGTAAGTCCTTCGTCCAACCTCTGTCTTACCCATCTTCCCAAGCCAGAGCAAGCCCGTTTTCCTTCCTGATCTCCAAAGCTGCAAAAGCATCTTCTCAGGAATATTCTACTGTGACTTCTGTTTGATGCACATGCCTTGCTTTCCCAGAACACCTCAGCCTCATGAAGGCGAGACATACCAAGTTCATCTCTTATCACCACGGCATGTTGGTCTGAAACAAATGCTTTTTGTATCAACTGGCTTTTCACTCTGGCTTAGGCTGCGCCATTTGGTGCTAGCGGTGCAGTTTGCTTTGCAAAGTGAAGAATTCCAGATTGCAGGTGGCTCTGGTGCTGTTCCCTGTATGACTTGTGAAATTTCTTCTCACACCTTTCAAACTGTTTATGTATGCTTTTGCAATTAAGTCATCAGCATAAAAAAAAACACTGATGTGACACTTAAAAAAATGTTAAACATAACCAAAGAGACACAGGATGATAAAGGTTCAGAGCTGAGGGGGGCCGGGAAATGAATCACACAGAAAGCACCTCCTAGGATACTAATAGGGACAATTTTAACTGACAGAATAACGTTCCAGTCATCCCAGATTTATTGGCCTGACCACAGAGCAATTACTACAACCTTAAGAGAACAATTAAGGAAACATTTTAGCTCCCCATTCTAGGGACTGAATCATCTATTTTACTCCCCAAGGCCTCAAGGTCACAAGGCCTGGCTGTGGAGAAGTTTCTTTTTTTAAGTCTCATATTAATCAAACTTCGTGTAGGCTCACATGTATTAGCTGCATGAACTTGTCTAGGAACTCGGTATTGCAAGCCCATAATGCTTTCTGAAAGTTATGGGGTCACACGAGGGTTGGAGTTTACTTTCACATTCTAGGAAAGTAGTAAGAGGGAAACACTCTCTCTCTCTCTCTCTCTCTCTCTCTCTCTCTCTCTCTCTCTCTCTCTCTCTCTCTCTCTCTCTCTCTCTCTCTCTCTCTCTCCCTCTCTCCCTTTCTCTCCAAATGTCACACAAGACCCCAGCAGAATCTGCAGCAGGTCATCCATAATTAAACCACCCACTGCCACACCTGCAGCAAGCACTTTAGCATTCACAACACAGCAGGCAAATAAAGTTCTGAATGGTTTTATTTCAGTTCAGAGGTTTGCCTCTGAATGACTTAGGTACCCAATTTTTGATTTTTGATTTTTGAAGCTTTGTGTAGAGGGTTTTAGAAACAGTTGTTTGCAGTGTACCAACTGTTTAGTGGGGGCTAAAAATCCATTGACACCCAGAGTAAAATCTTTAAAATCAGCCCTTATTGACTGTCCACAGTTGGTGAACCAATAATTTGACTAGAAAGTTGCCTGTTAACACTATGGTAATAGGCAACATAGTAGGAATAATTTGAAAAGTATGACAATTTAGAAAGTTCTTTAATATTTGGTTAAGAAAAAAGGATGTCCTATGTGGTGGCATACACCTTTAATCCCAGCACTGGGAAGCAGAGGTGGGCAAATCTCCGAGTTTGAGACCTGATGGGGGATTGTCCTTCTGTATGTTGTGAATATATGTTTCCTTATTAGTTGACGAATAAATATTGATTGGCCAATAGCCAGGCAGAAGTATAGGTGGGGCTACCAGAGAATGCTGGGAAGGAACAGAAAGGCAGAGAGAGAGAGAGAGAGAGAGAGAAGAGAGAGAGAGAGAGAGAGAGAGAGAGAGAGAGAGAGAGAGAGAGCCATCACAGAAATGCCATGTAGCTATTGGGAAGATAGAATGCCGGGCATTCTCTGGTAAGCTAAGACCGTGTGGAAATACTTAGATTAATAGAAATGGGTTAATAATTAAGAGAGAGCTAGTCAATAAGAAACCTGAGTCATTGGACAAACAGTTTATAACTAATATAAGCTTCTGTGTGTTTATTTGGGAATAAAGGGCTACAGGACCATGCAGGAAAGAGACTGTCTACAGAGTACAGCCTGGTCTACAGAGCCAGGGCTACATAGCAAAACCCTTTGGGGGGGGTGTTAGGAATCACATGCTTCTTGCATTAGAGTAAGGAGGACACTTCACACAGTAATTCAGTAGCTGCATTAGAGTGAGGAAAGCGCTGTGCTGGAGGATGTTGGGAAACATTTCACATCCTTTAACCAGGAGGAGAGGTGGGACTAGTTGACTCGACACCAGAGGAAATGATAATGGGAACAGTACATTAGGCCACTGGGGTTAAACTGAAGTAGTCAGAGCAGCAAAGAAGAAACTGTAAGAAACTCACACACACAGAAGAATGAGTGTGAGGGGAAGAGACGGTTGAGAAGAGACACAGACTCATGAGAGCTGACTCTCAGAGGCAGGGCACAAAGCCATCAACCAAAGAAAAGCAACCAATAGTCAGTGTCGAGGTTTCCTGAAGGCGTCCAGAGACTGAAGTTTGAAAAGGATTCTTACTTTTATAACAAGGCATTAGATAGCAAGCTTCTGAAAGGTTGGGTTTCAGAAATGAAACCTGAAACACTGATACAGCCATACCAAATGGGAGTGAACTATGACACACTTAACTTGATCCACTGCTCCTCAGCTATCTCCCTAACATGGTGGAGACAAAATTGCACAGGAAAAGCAGTGATTTCAGGGGCAAAGGAGGCTGTGATGACTTTAGAGTTGTCTAGGAGATGGCTTCTGAGTATGTCTTGAGAGCTTTCTGAAGAGGTTTAATTAAGGGGCAGACCCACACGGAATGGGCTGGGGTGCTGGCTAAATGAAAAGGATGAAGGAGTAAGAAAGCTGGGCATCAGCATTCATCTTGCTCTGCTTCCTGACTGTGGCTGCAATGTGACCTCAGTCACCTCATACTGCTACCACCATTCTTTCCCTGACATTAACCTGCCCTCTTCCCTCCTTGCCCTACCTCCATGTTGCTTTTGCCAGGTATTTTGTCATAGCAGTCTGGAGAGCAACTAACCAGGGGCCAACTGTGGATGAGAACAAAGGCCATTCCAGGAGGTAGCCAGCTCTGCCCCAGCAGGGCAAACTCTGATCATCACAGTGAGCAGTGTGGGCAGCCTGAATGACAGGCCTAGGTGATAGGCAAGTGGTAGCCAGTGGAGCCCAGTGTTGGGGATGAAGAGCGTATCAGTTGGTTCATGACCATTAATCCCAGCTATTCACATCTGTGGGGTGAAGAGCAAGCCTTGCTAAGAATATTGAAATTAGGTGTGCTGGCATACATCCATCAGGAAGTACATACAAAGATGAAGTTTCTCTCATAAGTGTGCTCTGGTGTTCCATTGCCCAGAGTCACTAACATAGTACTATGAACTCTGGGATTACACATGCAAATCTACCTTTGTGGGGTGGGATAGCTACAGGAATGAGAAGCCAAGAATCTGACAGCAGCTTACCATTCACTTGCCACCCTGTCTTGCTCTAGGGAGGTACTCAAAAGTAATCTGCTCAGTGAACGAGACTCTTTACCTAGATTTATCTACTGAGTGTGCAGGCATGTGCATGCCATGGTAAGTGTGTGCAGGTCTGAGGACAAATTGCAAGAATGGATCTTTCCTTCCATGACAAGGGGCCTAAGGGACTGAACTCAGGTGGTCAGGCTTGATGGTAGGTGCTGATACCCACTGAACCATTTCACTGGCTCCACTTTGGTATATGCATGGGATTCTGAAAGTGAGATCTTTTGGGCTAGTTGTGAGTGTGCGCTTCTGCATAAATGCCTGCATCTAGACACATAAAATGGCTTATGCCCTTTATTTTCTTTGACAGAATTGATGACCAGAGAGGTAATTTAGTAACCCGACTGGCAGCACATCACCATCTCTTGAAGCTATACATGGAGAAGTATGAGAACTCATCTCTCCGCAAGGACAAGCAGGGACCTAAGATTTCTTCCTCCAAACGTGTGCAGCAAAAGTCAGTTATGCTAGAATAACTGCTACAATTTTAAAAACTATTTTTGGAAGGGCAGGAGTCCTCAGAGGAGATGAAGTGTCATTACATGTTTTAAACTCTAACGGGCTAGGGAAGCACACTGTGGCTAGGCTTGCTTGGCAGCACAGTCACAACAGCACAGCGCTGCACTAACAGACCTGCTGCAGACGGCCGTCTATAGCCCTCACCCGCACTGAATAACAAGAGGTAGAAATTTCCACTGGCATTCATAATTTCTTAAAATCAAACAAAATTAGCCATAACAGAGTTAAAAAGACTCACAGGACCCTCAGGTACTAAACATGGACTTTTAATAACTAAAAGCATAAAAAGGCTCACTCAGTAAAGTTAATTTTGTACAATCATTCAAAGAGAATACTTAATATTAGAACTTTAAGTGTGGGCTGTTTTAGTATTTTAAGCATATTAAAGTAACCACTTTGAAAAGTGACATCTACAGTTGGTGAGAACTGATCAGACTGTAGAATAAAGGGAAACAGGAGGTGCTGAGTACTTTATGGCCTGGAATCTATAGCAGGTGTTTTAATTGAACCCTCATTTAACTCCAAGAAAGTATTATTGCTCCCCTTTACAGATTAGGAAAAGTAAAGCCAAGGAGAAAGCAAGTCGATGGACTGTGTGACCTACTCCTTTTGAAGGAGCAACTTTCCTTCCCTTTATTCTCCTGCATCACCCTAAACTAGATTACCATTCCAGAATGTTAAAGAGGAAAACAGAAGATAGATTAAGCTGAAATGGCAAGTCAAGTCTGTATCCAAGTTAATGATACTCTTAGGAGGCTCATTATTGGAGCTAATTTTGTCAAATTAAGCTGTGCGACAGGAAAGAAAGCTAACCTTCGGAGATGAGTTTGCACTTAACTACCATAGGATTATGACACACCCAGAAAGGCTGGAGACACCTGTGTGGAGATGACAACATGTGTTGTTCTTTTCCTCTTCCATCGGCAGGAGGCTGGATGTGCTGGGCACTATTCACATGTTAGTGGTAGGGAGTAATCAACCAGGGGGCTCAAGAGCTCTGGTGTAAGTAAGTGTCTACCATCATTATTAAATCCATCTCAAAATACTTGCTGTATTCTGAAGAGACCGGCCCATGGGGTGATTTTCTAGATTGGGGTAATACATTCCCTTCCAGGTTTACAGAGTAGAACTGGGTGGGTGGGCCCTGCTTTGTTGAGGCTAAACAAGCTGGCCTCCCCCACTATGCTCTTGGTTTGGGCAAAGTTTCATTATTCTATCTGTAGAGTCGTCAGGGTGCAGGCAGAGAGACAAATGTTCCTGCTCTGGACTTAAGACCCTTGGACCCAGGCTTAGAATAAATGAGCTGTCAAATCAACTGGAAAAACCAAAACTTTAGAAACTGTTCAGGTTTTAATTTTATTAGACTGAAAAAATCAGTTTCAATTTTATTTGTTGGGAATCTAGATTCTCCCTCTTTCATTTGGCTTTGGAATTGTAACTTCAGTTGGAGTTCAAACTGTTTCTCAAGACGGTCTCTGCTTAAAACAAATATGTTAAAACTGGGAAGAAATCTAGGATAAAGAAATGACTCAAAACACCAATGACTACAACTTAATTTTGTTGAAAAAATATAATAAACGCACCAGCAGTGTGCTCAATAGCATAAGTTTTGTTTGAAGGACAGGATGTCAAACACATTTTGAGTCCCTACACTTTCACACTATGACTGCTAGAGTCATCATTACTTGGACCCACATTTCAGGAAATTGGAAGTAACACAATGAAAACCATTTCCAGGTGGAAACTGAGTCTGGTTTGCTCAGTCTCCCTACACACTTGCCCTGCCCTGCTGAACTGAGCTTTCAGGTGACACCCTCCTTTCCAATGACAACACCCATAATCAGGCTTTTTCCACTTGGCTACACAAGTTGACTCATTGCCTCTCTTACCAAAAAAGAGAATTCTCATTATTTGAGCAGCTGCGTTTCTTCATCAATACTGTTTCTTAGACATTACCCAATACTGAGTAGTATTTTACATGCCAGCTACTCTGTAAAACACATGTATTATCTTATTTGTTCCCCAAAGCATGGCGATTATGAGCAATTTTCTGATGAAGATTTCCAAGCTAGTAAATAACAATGGTGACTCTTAAATTCTGGCCTCTGGATGCTTTTCCATTTCTCCAGGGGCAGCTATGAACACCTTCACAACCTCTGTTAGAACAATAGAGGAGCTCATGGTTCTGTTAGAGTTGGTGTCACCTAATATATTTATGTATACTTATTATTTATATTTATTATTCTGAAACTTATTCTCAGTAGGAAGAAAAAAGACACAGAATTTAAATTCTCATGTTATGGACTAGCTCTCAATTTTAAACCAGCATTTCTTTTATGAGAGGCAACTAAGAAAAGAAAGAAAAATGATGCTTGTTAGAACCCAACAAACCTGCCTCTCCTTGTGTCTGTGGCAGTTCAACCTTGGCCAACATCTGATCCATCCTGTCAGATTTTATTCCCAGTGGTCCCCCTTCGTAGTTTGTCAGTTGACTAAGTGTTAATTGGATTAACAATTCAGTGTGAATAGGAGTTAATGTGTGCATTTTAAGGAGGTGTGTTGAGGGGATAGTGCTCTTTGCTTTTGTTTATACACAACAAGGCATTCAAGGGCTTTAAGGCTGCTTTCCAGGCCACCAGGGAGGAAGGCCACTGGTGTGGTTTATGATGCTCAATGGCCTCCACATTTCTATAGGATAGCAGTGAAAACTGTGGCCAAGGAGTAGGGGAAACAGAGTGCTTATTTGCAGACTTAGTATTTTACTAAGTAAGTAAGTAAGACATTAGTTCAATGGAGCAGGAGAGATGCCCAGTGCTGCACAAACCTCACCTGAGTTCAATCCATGGAACCCATATAATGGTAGAAGGAGAAAACTAACTCCACAAAGCTGTCCTCTGACTAACGTGTGCAGTGGCACTCATGCCAACACATACGCATTATGTGCCTGCAAACACAATAGTAAATTAGAAAGTAACTTTAAAAAAGTTTACTTAAGTACAGAAAGAAAAGTAGGGCATCAAAAAGGAACTGCCGCCTACAAAACTGAGTAAGTTAGATAAGCCCAAAGACCACGAAATAAGAGGAAGCAAATGTTCTTTAGGGAAGAATTTAAAAGTTAATTACCTCAAATATTAATGGTCCTAAAAATATTTACATATTGTGGTTCCCCAGACTCAAGTAACTATTCTTTGGGGGAGTTAAAGCTTGTGTTCCAAATGAAAAGGAAATTTAAAAGACTTTTTTAACTTAAAATACCTTTTGGTAATTTTCAGTTTCAACACATTTCAAGATTCTCTATGCTAGTTAAAACTTTTATTAGTTCTTATTTAAGAGCTTCAGATAAGAAACACTAAAAACCATATGAGGAACACATTTTGTTTTTAACATATCTTTTGGCAGAAATAATATGTAGTATGCACAAAAACTTACTACTATTACACAACAGTCAAGCTAAGTGTTTCCCTAAAACCTACAAAGAATTGGACAGTGTAGTGATTTAACAAAGTGCTAATAACCTTCCAACTCTATGCAAGACAACTAGAGACTTCCGACTGTTTCCAGACCTGCTAATATTGCGTCACTTATGAAATTCAGGCCCTGATAGCTGAACCTCAACAGTGTAGGAACAGCAGGCATACACACAGCATCTTGTCACCTATGCACATTGTCTTTCCAGAGCATTCTGACATGTGCTAAAGGAGTGGGAACTATGTCCCGAAAGAACTAGTGCCCAGCACAAATGTCTGCGCATGAAATCTTCCATCAGCCAATGAAACTGTCCATTTCTTTTAAAATCATATTTTATTGTTTGCTTACTTTAAAGATAGGATTTCAGCCAGGTGTTGGTAGCTCATGCTTTTAATCCCAGCACTCGGGAGGCAGAGGCAGGCAGATCCCTGTGAGTTTGAGACCCGCCTGGTCTACAAGAGCGAGTTCCAGGACAGTCTCCAAAGCCACAGAGAAACCCGGTAGTGAAAAACCCAAAACACATACATACATACATACATACATGCGTACATACATACATAAAAGATGGAGTTTCATGTAGACTGAGCTGGCCTCAGGTTCACCCATCACACAGTGGAAGCTGAGCTTGAACTCTTGATCCCAGGGGGTCCACTACTGTCTTCTTATGGCCCCCAACCCAACAGGGTCCCACCTGTACTCCCCCTCCAAAGGCCAGGATTACATCATCCTTTTAATTTTTGTATTTCGATAAAGATGAATAAGATGACACTTATGAGAAAAACCTTTTCTTTAGTGGGTTAAACTTAAGATTAAGGTTTCAGCACCAAGAAGTCTATTTAGCAGGATCTATGCAGAAGTTGATAAAAACATCATTATATAACTTAAATGGTTAGGACTATAACCTTTTAACACTGGCACCCCAAAGATACAACTTTTATTCTGTAATTTCAGGAGCCAATTTATACAGAAGGGTCACTTTTGGGGAGTATACAAGCTGCATTAAAAAGGGCTGGAGATAGGTAGCTTAGTGGTGCAAGTCCCTGCCCGACATGCATCAGAGCCTGGACTCAACCCACAGCACAGCATAAAGGAGAGAGGGAGGGAGGATGGGAGGAGGACAGGAGAAGGACTATGTTTTATAGTATAGTCTTACAGACGCTTTATCTTTGCTTCTGATCTATCCTCAGCTCACAGTGATTTACAACACTTTTTGTTGCACTTTTCCCCACAGCTCAGCTTTTATGCCAACTGTTTATGATTTACAAGTACAAATGCACAATTTTGGGCAGCTGTGGATCTGTCACCGGAAAAGCAATCCCTTGTGACCATGTTACTGTTTTCTAATACTGGTTGTTAAGTCTTGTCTGCAGCTCTTCAGTCAAGGCACACGTTTCTTTAGCATGCAACTCTAAGACTGCAGGCAATACAGAAGACAATGATGTGCCAACACAATCGACTAGCACAGAGAGAACGGGGCCTGGAATATTATTTGGTGGGAGCTGTCAGGCTGGCTGTGTTAAGAAACATCTACAGGCTCTGAGCTACAACTAGTCACATTCTGCCTGCATATATGGCCATACTATCCTGAATGTGCCCTAGATCAGATTCTTTGAGAGCTATTACAGGGAACAAAGTCACTCAGGTTTGAACACTCTGAGCACTTTGGATTCCTTTTTCTTTTAATTCTGTCTGGCTTTTCCCCCATCCACGTCTTTATTCTCCTTTGATGATGTGAACATGCTTCATCTCCTGGTTGGGGTCCCGTGAGCGCTCCTTGTTTCTACAGGAGATAGAATGATTATGAGGTCCATCTGTATTCTCCTTGCCCTGTGGGCTTGCTTGTCTGTGTGTACATGCACATAGGCACACATTCTGGCTCCATATATGGCTTTATGACTGGCATCCACAGACACGATCAGCATATCTAGATTAGTACCATCTCTGTCTTCTTATGGCACCTACTCTAAGTAGCCCACCATGTGCTCTTCACTCATACTGACTGATTGGAGCTGCAGAAATTGACCCTCCGTGAACAGTGGCCAACATTAGAAGCTTAAAACTTCTGGTCTCAAAAGCTCACCACAATCTACATCATTGTCCGTTTGTTGTTCCTGGGCTGCCTCTTCACTGTGCCCACTCAAGAGTCTCCCGTCTTTCAAGGCACATTTACCATGCCTCCTTTACACTCAGGGATGCTGTCTCTTGCCAATGGTTGACATTGATTCATGGAAGAAGCGGCCATTATGTGGGAAATCATTCACTATCGGCAGGCTCTTTTGTTTATAAGTTTCTCTTCTGTTGTTAATTATGTTCCACAAGTAACACCTCTTCCAGGATGGGGCAGAAAGCACTGACAACTCATCTGTCTCAATAGAGATGCAAGACTGCTAACGCCATTCTGCACCCCTTCCTCTGTTCTGCAACCAATGCACAGTCGGCTCCCAGCTCTCAGGAGGCCTGCCTTGACTGTCTTAGGTGGCACTGCTTGACCCAGAGCCACTACTGGCTATCCTCCTTTCCTGTTTAATTGGCTATCATGACTTTTATCACTCTGATATATCATCTGTGCCTCCCCACTATAACCTAAGTTCCATTAAGTAGGAGTTGTTTCAGCCACTGCCAGACCTCAGCCCCTAGATTAGTATCTGGCTTTGCACAATATAGTACTTACTAATTAAACATGTGAAATCTGAATTCTCAACTAGCTTGTCTTGCTTTCTCTTATTTCCTTTCTGACCATATACATATACATATACATACACATACACATACACATACACATACACATATACATATACATATACATATACATATACATATACATATACATATAAAAGCATAAGGGTAGTGAGCACCCAGCCTACCTTTTGCTGCATCTACAGCTCTGCCTCCTTCCTTCATGACAGCATTTTCTGGAGGTAGTGTATACATTTCTTGTGTTTGCTTGTGGATCTTCTCCCCACTTTTCCCTCTACTCCCTTCCATCCTTTAATTCCACTATGAAGTACTAAAATGCACATGTCAGGGGTAAGACTGAGGGCTTAGCTTGACTTCACTTTCCACTCTACTTTTAAGTTAACAGCTAATCTATGGCTGTGGAAACTGAACATTTCTTTCAATGCAGAAAAGACCTGTATTTGAATCCAGATCTATGTGGTACCAGGACATTCCCCTTGTTCCAAACACAATGAACTCACTACATCCTGCTTCTTACTTGGGTTCTGGAGACTGAATTTGGGCTCTTGGGCTTGGTGGCCATCTTCCTCAGTCCAAGACAGCTTCATAAAGCAGAAATTTCATGGTGTTTTAAAGCACTATGTTAGCTAGCCTTTTGCTTGTATTATCAAAATACCAGACAGGAAAAAACATAAGGGAGGGAGGATTACTTTGGCTCACAGTTTCAGAGGGTTCAACCCATGTTTTCTTGGTTCCATGTGCTTGGGTTGAACATCCTGGTGGTGTTAGCACATGGTGGAGGAATTTCTTTTTTTTTTTCTTTTTCTTTTTATATTTAAATTTAAATTAGAAACAAGGTTGCTTCACATATCAATTCCAGGTCCCTCTCCCTTTCCCTCCCCTCCTCCCACGCTCTCCCACCAACCCCTCCAATATCCCCTCATTTCCCCAGGGAGGGTGAGGCTCTCCATGGGGGTATCCATAGTCTGCCATTTCATCCAGGGCAGGGCCCAGACCCTCCCCGCAAGAGTCCAGGGTGAGAGTGCATCTCTCATTGTTGGATGGGAGCCCAAAGTCCATTTGTATACCCGGGATAAATACTGATCTACTACCCAAGGCTCAATAGATTACCTAGGCCTCCTCACTGACACCCATGTTCAGGGGTTCTTGATCAGTCCCATGCTGGATTTCCAGCCATCAGTCTGGGATTCAAGAGCTAACCCTTGTCAGGTCAGCTGTTTCTGGGGGTTAAACCAGCCCAATCTTAACCCCTTTGCTCATCAGTCCCTGGTGGAGGAAGTTCTAAGCCTCACTACAGTCAGGATGCAGAGTGAAGGCCGAATATTAGAAGGGGTCAGGGCAAGGCATAGTTCTAAATACCTATCACCACTATCTACTTCCTCCAATTAGGACCTACTTCCTACTTTTTATCACTGCTCAATAATGCCAAATTAACCCATGGATTATCTCAGAACCCTCATTAGCTTTCTCTGGAAATATACAGATACACCCACAAGTAGTGTGTTTTATTAACCCCTAGGTATTTCTTAATCTAACCAACTTGAAAGTGAAGATCAACCATCACAAGCATGAGGAACTGTTTAAAAATTGGTACTAGAATCTTTTATAATTTCTGGGTAATATGAATTACCCAGAAAATTTCTAATTCTACAATACTACTCTGTAAACTGAGGTCATTAAAGAAATCTAGGTGTAAGACAAGAAGTACAAGAATTTGACTAGGCTTTCATGTGAAACATCCTGGTGCATGGTAAACTTTAGCATCCCCTGGGCTGTAATATATAGCCTGATCTGAGAGAGTTCTGCCAAGACAAGAAAACAAAGTGTGTATAAGACAGAAACTGGGGTCTGTCTTTGATCCTTCCACATTTCTAGCATGAATCTGGGCAGGACAACAACCCTCACTGTTTTGGTCTCAGTTTCCTCTCTGTAGCAAGTGGTGATTAGGGAGAATCAGTGTTTCTCTAGTCAGCTCTGCAGACATTGGGGAGGGGCCCAATACCATTTGACACTACTATAGTCCTCACAGGCCAAGGATGTGTTGGGCAAACCACCTGAAGCTATCTCTACCTGAAGCCATGCTGACCAAGCAGTCCTGTCGGTACTACTGTGTTCACATAGGAGATCTAGAAGACAGCTCTAGATTTTGGTTCTGCTAAGCCTTAAACCTTGAGTAAAGCCCCTTTGCTACTTGGTGTGACGAAATGGTGCACACTCACAGCACACTTCTGCCGCAGGGGCTGGCTTTAGGAAAAGTGAAACTGAGACAGCTGCTTTCCCCTCTATCTAATGGACATTTGCTAAAAGAGCATAGATTTGGGTATGAGTGGAGCTTTATTTACAAAAGGAAAACACTCAAAGTATTGGTTGCCATTGGTATAGATAATTTTTCATGCAGCAATTGGAATTTTGGAAGGTGAAATTTATGAACTTAGATGGCTCCTTCCTTATTATGATGGGCATGGGTCCTGATAAATCCATTGGTAAATTATAAAAAAAAAACAAAAATAGACCTTGAGAGCTTGTTTGGAGGTTCTAGCACGGGAGTGCAGCTACTCGTATACCCTTGACCGAAGACCACCGGTCCTCCTCTATTCGGGGAAGGCTGTCCTCTCCGACCAAGCGTGACGCTTCGGGAGAGACGCACATGGAGCAGTGAGGGAGGAAGGGGACACCTGCCTAGCCAGCCAGATCAGCCGAATCAACTCTGGCGATCAATGGGGAGACAGATGTCGCAGCCATATCGCCCTCACATCCCAGCAACTCTACTCTTAGGCATATATCCAAAAGATTCACATTCATAAAACAAGGACATCTGTTTCACTATGTTCAGAGCAGCATTATTTGTAATAGCCAGAACTTGGAAGCAACCTAGATGCCCCTCAAACTAATGAGTGGATAGAGAAAATGTGGTACATTTACACAAAGGAGTACTGTTCAGCAGAAAAAACCAATGGAATCCTGAAATTTGCAGGCAAATGGGTGGCACTAGAAGAAACCATCCTGAGTGAGGTAACCTAGTCACAAAAAGAGAAACATGGGATGTATTCTTCTCATATATGGATTTTAGACATAGATCTGGGGAGTGCCAGCCTAAAATCCCATGGCCAGAGTGTCTGGGAAACAGAACCTTCATTCAATGGCTGATGGAAGCAGAGGCAGACTCCCACAGCTAAACACTGAGCTGAACTCAAGGAATCCAGTGACAGAGAGGGAGGACTGATGAGCAAAGGGGTTAAGACTGGGCTGGTTTAACCCCCAGAAACAGCTGACCTGACAAGGGTTAGCTCTTGAATCCCAGACTGATGGCTGGAAATCCAGCATGGGACTGATCAAGAACCCCTGAACATGGGTGTCAGTGAGGAGGCCTAGGTAATCTATTGAGCCTTGGGTAGTAGATCAGTATTTATCCCGGGTATACAAATGGACTTTGGGCTCCCATCCAACAATGAGAGATGCACTCTCACCCTGGACTCTTGGGGGAGGGTCTAGGCCCTGCCTTGGATGAAATGACAGACTATGGATACCCCCATGGAGGGTCTCACCCTCCTTGGGGAAATGAGGGGATATTGGAGGGGTTGGTGGGAGGGTGTAGTAGGAGGGGAGGGAAAGGGAGAGGGACCTGGAATTGATATGTGAAGCAACCTTGTTTCTAATTTAAATTTAAATTTAAAAAGAAAAAGAGAAAAAAAGAAGTTCCTTCAAAGATGCCAAAGATACCAAAAAATAGTTGTATTTTTTTGTTACTGTTGTTTATTTGCTTTTGTTTTTAGTGAAAATATAACCACGCCATTATCCCTTCCTCCCCTTCCTCTTCGTCCTTCCTCCCATGTCCTTCATACCTCCCAAATTCATGGTTTCCTCTTTAAATCTTATTGTTACATATAAATAAATAAATATTTTGTTTTGGAGACATGGTTTCTTTGTGTAGCCTTGGCTGTCCTGGAACTAGCTCTGTAAATCAGGCTGGCCTCGAACTCACAGAGATTCACCTGCCTCTGCCTCCTGAGTGCTAGGCTTAAGAATACATTACCACCTCCCGGCATGATCCAAGAGCTTTTAATAGGAACCAGGGCTAAGTGGGGAGCCATATTTAAAAAGTGTGTGATGTTTTTATTTGCAAGTTTCTTAAATAACAAAGTTTATAAAAACATAAAAGAGTTTTCACATGAGATTGATGGATAATGAATATGATTCTTAAAATACTATATGATAAGTTCCCTGGGGAACTGAAGTCTTCCAAGTGATCACTGCTGCATATAAAGACTCACCCAAGTGCAAGCTAACTGAAA